TTCGGCAAGAGGCAACGCAGTCGTCGGGGAAAGCAACCCGATAAGTATACTGCACTTTTACTGAACAATGGCGCGACTAGGCAAGCTAGACGAGTTCGACGAGAAGGATCAGAATTTTGAATCCTATCTGGAGCGTTTTGAGCACTTCGTCACCGCAAATGACATCAGAGAGGAAAAGAAGCTGGCAGTATTCTTGAGTGTGATAGGACCACGAACGTACGAGGTGCTCAAAAGTTTGGTAGAACCCGCTGTTCCTGGGGACAAGTCCTTTGAAGAGGTCACAGTGCTGTTGAAGAAACACTATAGCCCACAGTGCTCGGTCATTGCCGAACGTTGCAAATTTAACAAGCGAGCACAAGAAGAGCAGGAAAGTGTCGAGGATTTCATAGTGGCCTTAAAACAGTTAGCAAGGAAGTGCGATTTCGGTCAGTTTCTGCAAGACGCGCTGCGAGACAGAATAGTGGCAGGCATAAGACGCGAGGAAACGCAACTCGCCCTATTTGCTGAAGAAGATTTAACCTTCGAAAAGGCGTGCAAGATAGCCCAGGACCGAGAGCAGGCTGCGCGACAGACAGCGTTACTTCATGCAGAAGGCAAGGAAGCGGCTTTTTATGCAATGGCGATAAGAGGAAAAGGAAGCGAAAAGAAATCGAAGCTTCGGAAGCTCAAGGAAGCCAAGCGAGTTTGCGAAAGATGTGGCAAGGCGCATGCGGCTAGTGTTTGCTGGTATAAGAACGTCCAGTGTCACAGCTGTTCTCAAATCGGTCATCTACAGAAGATGTGTCCAAGTAATCGCAGAGAACTCAAGACTGCAAACGTGGTGGACTGCTCTGATAGTGACTCTGAATTAGATGTGTACCATGTTATCAATACCGTGCGTTCTGGGTATGAAGTGCAGCTAAACGTAGAAGGGCAAGACCTCTGCATGCAGATTGATACGGGAGCAGCTGTAACACTAATTCCTGAGAGTGTGAGGCTGAACGCATTTCCTCATGTCAAGTGCGAGCCATCTCGAGTCACCCTAAAAACATACACTGGGGAACCTGTTCCAGTAAAAGGGCAATGCAACGTTTCCGTTACGGTGGGAAAACAGTCTTTGCGGCTACCCGCTATTATCGTCAAGGATAACGGCAAGCAGCTACCATTGCTGATGGGGCGAAGTTGGCTTGAAGGGCTCGGGCTTGACTGGAAAAGCGTGTTTGCTATAAATGTAAGCGACTCTCACAAGGTAGAGGCGGTTAAAAAGAAGTTCCCAGGGGTGTTTTCTAAGCAACCTGGAAAAGTAAAAAACTATCAAGCAAGGATAGTTTTAAGCCAGAATTGTACGGCTATTTTTGGCAAGGCCAGAAACGTCCCATTTGCGCTTCGAGATAAAGTGGAAGGCGAGCTAGAGAGGCTAGAGAAAAGCGGTGTTATACGCCCCGTAAATCGGAGCGATTGGGCCACGCCAGTAGTCGTAATCCAAAAGAAAGATGGTTCACTGAGGCTGTGCGGGGACTACAAAGTCACCATTAATCCTGTTTTAAAGACCGACCACTACCCATTGCCTAGACCGGAAGATTTGTTCTCTGCCATAGCTGGCGGCAAAGTGTTTTGTGTGTTGGATCTTTCGGCCGCGTATCAGCAGATTCCGCTCACTGCCGAGTCCCGACCACTGCTAACTATTAATACGCACAGGGGGCTGTTCGAGTTCCAGCGCTTACCATTTGGGGTAGCCAGTGCGCCAGCCATTTTTCAGTCCTTCATGGATGAGGTGCTCAAAGGCATACCGCACGTGGGATGTTCCATAGACGACGTCATTGTGTCGGGAAAAGACTTAGCCGACTGTCAAAAAACGTTGGAACTAGTCCTGCAGCGGCTGAGTGACTACAACGTGACACTGAAAGAGGAAAAGTGTCGGTTTTTTCAGAGCACTGTGACTTATCTCGGTCACACTGTGTGCGCTGAAGGTATATATCCTACAGAAGAAAAGATAAAGGCGATCACAGAAGCGCCAGAGCCCACTTGCCAAACAGAGCTAAAGGCTTATCTCGGCATGTTAACCTTTTATGCAAAGTTCTTAAGTAACCTTGCCTGCGTGGCAGAGCCATTGTACCGTCTGTTGCGCAAGGGCGAAAGGTGGTCGTGGACACGGGAGTGTAGCGAAGCATTTGCTTCTACGAAACTGTTACTTGTCAAGAGTAATGTGCTCACTTTTTACGATGTGGCGAAACCAATGGCTATGACATGTGACGCTTCGTCGTATGGATTGGGGGCTGTCATTTTTCATGAGACCGCAGAGGGACACGAAAGGCCAGTGGCATTTGCTTCTAGAACACTTACAGCCGCAGAGAAAAACTATGCTCAGTGCGAACGCGAAGCATTAGCACTGATGTTTGGGTTAAGAAAATTCCACCGCTACTTGTATGGACGAGAGTTCACTCTTTATACAGATCATCAGCCATTGCTCGGAATATTAGGCCACGACAAGCCGGTGCCTGCGCTTGCTGCAGCTCGAATGCAAAGATGGGCAATTACCCTGGCAGCGTACCAGTATAAACTAAAATACCGAAAGGGAAGAAATGTTGAAGTGGCTGACGCTCTGTCTCGGCTTCCACGGCCTATTGTAGCGGCCGATGAACCTTCCGAGTGTCTCTTGCTATTTGACAGCATGCCCCTCAAAGCGGATGACGTAGCGCGAGCCACACGACGTGATCCCACCTTGTCTCGCGTGACGCACTTCATCTTAAATGGATGGCCTTCAGAGTGCTCTGAAGCATTTAGACCATTTTATTCCCGGCGCGACGAGCTATCAGTAGAGCAAGAATGCATAACGTGGGGATCAAGGGTGATCATACCTGATAAGCTCCAGCTACAGGTCTTGCAGCTATTGCATGAGGACCACCCGGGATCTAGTCGCATGAAAGCGTTAGCAAGAAGCTTTGTGTGGTGGCCTGGCCTCGACCTTTCGGTTGAGAGCTACGTTCGACAATGTCAGGTTTGTCAGGCCGTCCAAAAAGCTGCTTCACCGGTTCCTTTGCAACCATGGAATTATCCCACAAGGCCCTGGCAACGCGTGCACGTCGATTATGCGGTAAAGGGCTCTCAGGCGTTCTTGGTTCTCGTCGACGCGTTCTCTAAATGGATCGAGGTCTCGCCTATGTCATCCACTACTGCTAACAAAACCATTGAGAAGCTACGTAGTATGTTTGCCGCGTATGGTCTGCCAGAGGTACTGGTGAGTGATAATGGACCGCAGTTCATTTCCGAAGAGTTCGCGGCCTTCTTGAGTGTAAACGGTGTAAGGCATGTCAAGACACCTCCTTATCACGCGGCTTCTAACGGAGCGGCCGAGCGTTTAGTGCAGACTACCAAACAAGCACTGTCAAAGCATGTCTTGCAGGACAAAGCTAGCCACCACAAACATTCATTTCGGGAACGCTTGGACAGCTATCTAATGAGTTACAGGACTACTCCGCACAGTACCACTCGCCAGACCCCGGCAGAATTATTCTTGAAAAGACAGCCACGGGTAAAGCTGTCATTGCTAAAACCAGATTTCGAGCTCTCCATGCGGGAGCAGCAGCAACGTACCAAAGTGCAAAAGGACATGTCTAGGGGGGTTCCGCGATGTTTTGCTGTGGGGGACGCTGTGTGGGTGAAGACTGTGCGAGGTGAAACAGTGTCGTGGGAAGATGGTGTCGTGACACAGGTTATCAGTCCCGTAACCTATCTGGTGAAAGTGTCGCAGGCGGTGCGATTTACGCATTCGGACCACATCAGAGCCCGCCACGGAAGCCAGGATTCTTCAAGTTATCCGCAGGCACAACCTGCTCCAACGGCATCCGTAGACACGACTCCACCGACGGTTCCGATGGCGTGTGGGCCAGTCGCCGGGTCGCCTCTCGTAAATCCACACGCAACAGACTCTGCGACGTCTCTCCTTCCGGCAACTGCATCGCCCACGGCCGGAGCAGCTGCCTCCGGCTCGCCGGACCAGCCCAGTGCCGACGACGCGCCACCTGCAGCCGAACTTCCAACTCTGCGTCGTAGTGCACGTGTACGACATGCCCCGAACAGATACCAGTCCAGTGACTTTCGGAAGTAATCTGAAGGGGAAGGAGTGTTGTAGCGTGACGTCACTTATCACTGCGCACCCAGTGCGCGCATTCCTGTGCGACCGATCACGTGGTTCTGCGCCTATATATGGTGCGTCTTCTAATAAACTTATCAGTTGCTTCTTGGTATGCTGTCTGCTGCTCACGTTATTACACACCTCTTTCGCCTTGTCTTGTTAAACAAACCCTGAGACGGTTTGGACGATTTTTCACAAACACATTGGGTCGGTAGACCAAGTTACAATGGTAATTTAGAGACCGATTTGGGCTCTCTGCATAAACTGTGTAATTTATTTCAACCCTTTAAAGCTGCGAATCGCTCCAGATGACCGCTGATCGCTGCGACTCGGCCAAACGCGTTTCCAACCGCCCATACGCCAAGTGACATGCTCTGCCCCAGTGACGTCATCGTTTCCAGCTGATCTGATTCGCTGGGGAACGCGCAGCACAGACTGCCGGTACAGCTTCGGCAGCGGAATTTACGCGTATTTGGTCTCAAGCCAGATCGTGACATAGGTGCCGTGAAGGCGGAGCTTAGCCCCTTACGCTCGAATGAAGCGTTGAGGGCAGTTGAGGGCAGTTGAGGGTGAAAAGTGGAGCAGAGGAGGGGAGTACTTTTTAGTACTTGTAGCTCTGTTAAAAATGGTTGTTTTGATTGAACTCTGGTGCCAACGATTTGATCCAGTTTTGGTCTAATAAAAAACAATGTGAAAAAACCGTTTCAGGGACCCTTTAACCGTTCGAATAGAGAGCTTAGACCGTGATTGAACGCTTACCTATTCATGATAATGATACGCGCAAACATCAAGGGTAACAGCTCTGCCATTAGAAAAAAACATAAAAAGTATAGCCGTAATGCTTAACCCAAATTGTGACAGGAAACATTTTTTGTTATCTTTGCAGCCGGTTCCATATGCCTGTCCTCTACCCGTCAGCCTTACCGTCGGGTCCCAAATCTACATACAAGGATTGGTACCTGAGGTATCCGTACGGTAAGTCGGTAGGCAGTCGTGGAAAACATCTCCGCAGCCTGCTGCCCGCGAAAAGTGCATGCTCATGTAAATAATGTCGCGCAGCAAGCCCGCAGTGGAAGTCTTTACCCCGTATACGCTGCATTTCATACTCACAAGGTCACGCGGGGGCAGTGCAGGAAAATTTCCCGAGTGCCTGTTATTGGGGTTCCAACGGCTGAGTGTTTTGCCTTCGACATAACGTTAACAGAACACTAGGTTAGCAAGCATCCATCAGAAATATGCAGGCCACGTAAAAATGATAAGTCAATCAAACCATAAGAATGTCTAACAAGCGCCAAGTTTATTTAGACAACGACATAGAAGAGAATATAAAGTGCAGTGCAGCGTCATCAAAACACGCTGACATTAAATCTAGTTAAAGTGTCACCGAGTAAGCTTACACACAAAGCTACACATAACGCGACAATGAGAGGTGAAATTATGTACGTACAGCGGGCTTTCCCAATGTACTAAATGCTGCTATCAATAATTTAGAAGTATATTATTTGCACTCTCCTCGATTCCTTCCCGCATTATTCCTTTTTGCAATGCATCCATACAATTAATGGCCGTTTTTTTCGATACTACTGACGTCTAGAAATATGCTTATAGCCGATAATGTCTGCTGTATGCTTGATTGGTTTGCTTGCGCAGCCAGTTCTTGTCTCTGTTCGGAACATCAGATATGTTTCATCTGTTCTAATCACACAAGTGACGGAGGTCACCTGTCCCCTTATATAATAAAAGCGGACATTGGCGCTATGTTAGGCAAACGCCTCCATGTTTCTCAAGTAGTTACAAAAATATCTTTTCAGGTTTTGTTTAAAAAACACTACACTAAGACTGAGTGAAGAAAAAAACAGCAAAAGAAATAATTATATTTATGTATTACAACAACAATTACTTCTTTTCAAGGAGGTCTAGTTTCTCATAAACAAAGAAGACATAATGAAAGAATGGTGGCGTTGTGTCCATAAAATTACCGCACTACTCCCTGATGAAGTTTTAGACCCTTATCTTTTCCCCACCTAAAAAAAAACAGAACAAAAAACACGTATTGGTGCCTATTTCATTATTCTTTAGTGAACAAAGACAACAGTGTGGTTCCAAAGCGACCTAACACTCAGCGTAACAAAGTATGAGAACTTTTGTACCGTTAGAAGGAGGCAAATACCCTTTAGCAATTTTAATAGGCGTATTATATATTGGCCTCTACAAAACAAGTTCTTGGTGAAGTTTGCACTATTGTGCATCTCATGAGAGTGGCTATAAAAGCTAGTTACCCATTAGGTATTGATGGCTCTTTCTGCATGTGCAATTAGGCGAGCGTTGAGCACGAGATTTGTTACTAAGTTAGGCTAGCGGGAAACATCTCCCGTATGCTTGTGCTTTTGTTTGTCTCGTCTTTGTTTTGTGTGTGTCTGTTTAGCGGCATTTTGTCTCATGTTTCATACAACATCTCTGGGTTAACTATGTCAGTGCACGTCTCGTGATGTAGAACCGAGCAATTTTTAGTACGGCGGGCGTTGCGCACGCGAGAGGAGCGCATTTGGCACTGCGTGCAGAACTGCGTGCAGTTGGCACTGCGTGCAGAACGACCTTGCCCTTCGAAGGGCAAGGTCATTTTGCACGCAGTACTAAGACTCGCTACTATGTCAGTGTTTTTTTTTTGTCGCATGTCACATCTAAACACTCCGAGGTTCGATCAAGCGTTCTGCAATTTTCTTGTGCATCACCTCACTGCACTGTGTGTTTGCATGTTGCACGATGGGAATCGACAGACCTGAAGAGGAGGTCCAGTCGTAAGTAGAGAACTCATCTTTCATTTCATCTTCATTTGCTTCTTGTATTGTTGAATCGATAATATAAGCAGCAACTTGAAAGATATGTGTGCTAGCTTGTGTGAAGCCTGTTGTGTTTGCTTACACAGTATACCGAAATTTTCGGCTACCGTATTTACCGGCACGATAGCAACACCGTCAGCTACTATGGACTGATCGTAGATCTCGGCTGTCTCGGCACTGTAAGCTAATGTTGGTTAATGAGATATAGCGTTCACTACTTTTGGATAATGTTGGCTATTATTGCCAATGCTGTCACATGTTTACTTGTATGGACTTGCGTTGGCTGGTATTATCTGCCAAAGTAGTCGTTAAGTTCTGTAGAGTGGCTGGCGAGTACCGGTAGCAACGTGAGTTTACTAACCCAATTAAAGCAAGGTAATTGAAGGTAATTGAGGGTAATGCTTACGCGTTTCTGCCTCGCATTAACCGCTACGTTTTCACATAACAAGTGGAAACTCCTATGAACGCATGCAATGACTGGTCGTTCTTCCAGGTTTTCCGTTAACCTTCAGAGAGGAACTGGGGAGGCAGATCCCGTACAGCTCCATATTAACCCGCGCTTTGAACCGGAGGGACCGGTTGTTGTCCGCAACAGCCGCGAGGGCAAATCGTGGGGTCGTGAGGAACGTGAGGGCACATCGCCTTTCGCCAAAGGACGACCCTTTCTACTCGTCATCACTGCCACCACCCCGGGCTATGAAGTGAGTTCGTTTGTTCTCTTCTCCTCTCTTCATAACTCTGGAAAGAAAGGCACCTAAACAATGTGTACTGCCAATCATCCCGCAATTATTAATGTGAAAAACCACTGTAAAAATGAAAACGAAACTATAGGTTATTGTCAAATGCATATAGTGAAGCGACAGAACCTAAAGCACACATTTGCGCGCACCATTTACAACACAAAAGCGCACAAGCAAACATAGATTATTGTGCCGCGAGAAGAAAACAGATGTGCTCGTAGGAGTTACGTGAAGTGAATTTTAGAAATGAAAATTAACTACTATTAACAAAGAGTTCGCTATCTGCAACCAAATCTTGTGGAGACGCGAAGTCTAATATTCCTATTTTCATCCTGGCGCTGTTTCCTCATTATTAAAATATTGTCAATGTACTGCGGACCCCTGTAAGTGGCGAAGCGATAAAATTTCTCCTAAGCGATTCTAATGACTCACCGCCGATCATGGGATACGTTATACTTTCATTTCAGGTTGCGCTTTCTGTCGCTCTATGTTGCCTCCAGTGCTGACTTTTGAGCATAGCTTTTGCCACATAGTAGCATACTCTTACGCAGCGTTGCTCTAAAATCCCTAGTTCCTAATAAGATTATTTTGTTAAGGTAATACCGTGCTAATATTTTTTTCAAAGTAGTGTGCTTTTGTATTGTAATGTTTCTTTGATATCACTGAGAGGCTTACATGTCTGAAAGTTCTGTTTCTTTGTGGCATTTCAATGGTGGTTCCCGAGGCACGTTTGCAAAAATTGCCTTCATTGCCACAAGACTTTTCATAGAACACATTATTGATTTCAAAGGTTACTGAAACGTTATATGCTGGAACATTCGCTTTTGTGCGAAATAATATTGAAAGCGCACATAAAATAGAAACGGGTAGCAAATTAGATGTTGCTCGGAAGACTATGCCCTATAGTATCAAAAAATACCTTTTTGCAAGTCAAGATGTATATCCTCCTACCACACAGTGCACGTCGCGTGCAATGCGAAACCGCTCATTGGCTATTCATAATCTTGATGTAGTGATGTTAATGAAAAACACCACCGCTTCCATAACATTAACTCTAGACAACAGAATATCGTCAGAACATTATATGAAAAAGTCAAGTGTGCGCGTTTGACGCCTATATCGCACGCTATATGAGGGATTTGAAGTGCGAGTGTCTTCGAATTTCATTTTGTTCACTGTCTATTTCACCCTTATGTCTATTAACTAATATTATATCTCTTCACCTCTTTTTCTCCCGCTCTTATCAGCTGGCGGTTAATGGGCTTCCTTTCGCGACGTTCGATTATCGACAAGGACTGGCTCTTGCCGATATCACTCACCTCTGCATACACGGGGACGTCATCCTCCGTTCTGTGCACATACCTGTTCCGGAGATGGTGAGTCACGTGACCATTATCTTTACTCGCTTCCTAGTTTATACACGATACTTTCTAGCAGTGGCAGCATTGCGCAGCTTTTCCAATGTCGTGCAGCTGTGCCAATGTTCTTCCTAAGTCGTTTGGTATACAGTATCAGTCATAGGCTCAGTAACATTTTTAATATTAAATAAGACGTAGGCATTTCTAAGTTATCAATAAATAGCGATTGTTAACCACGTAATGATCAGAATATTTACGAAAATTCCCTAAGACACATTTGCTGCCATAATGTCTTGCATATTCAAACGAGCGTACACGTTTATTAGTTTTCATACGACAATGACAATTCTTTGGCATATAGGCTTTACGTACGTATTATGCGAAGGTATATGATGAGGCGTGTTCTGTTAAATAATTAATGAGCCTGTATTACCCAGCCTACTGCATAGGCAATGCTGAAATCGATACCTCAGAATCAGTATTTAGGAACGGGAGGTATTCATGGTTTCGCTTCTGATATGCTTAAGTGAGTTTTCAGTTTCAAATTATTAAAAAAAGCATCTAAAAACGAATTATCACCACGTCAGTGTTGTTTTATTTGCTACAGTATTGAAGTATACTTCATCACTGCATTTTTTGCAAAAGTTTTTAAAGGAGATAAGTTAAAGTAAGCCAAAATTTTTAAATTAATTTGGCACGATATCATGTTTAGATATTACAGATTTCATCATTACACCCACTGAGTGCGCGATCAACTGATCAATGAAATAAACACGACGTTCGCCTACTAATCACTTCACTGGAGTGATAACTTTTGTAGGTGCTGCAATACATTATCGGCGCTTGCAGCTGGAATCAAGTGATCGATCAAACATTTATTCAACTAGCCGGGCGATTAATGAGCCACACGCATGTGACAAACTGCTCTGCCAGGCTACCAATATAGCGATGCTCCAAGCGAGTGATCAGCTGTCACACCTGTCCCGTTTATTAGGGAGGCGATCGCCGGGCTAATTCCAAGAGCCGAAGTATCGGCCCCCCGAACCGCACCACGAAAGCGTGGACAATTTAGAAGTGGTCCTTATTGGTGCGCCAGCGGACGCCGGCTGTGGCCCAAAGAACAAGACAGAGCCGAGAGATGATAAACAAACAAAATTATATTCTCATTAACGGCAGATCAAAAACAATACACACGTATGCACACTCCACAATAGTTACATACAATACGTCACCAAACAGACAATGTACTACACAGTACAATCAACCACACTTGAAACAACGGACACAGACAACAATACGCACTACAATGCAGTCGCATGCATTGAACAACCAAGACACTTAAAGACTAAAGAGATATAAAACCTATTCAGTCCAAAGTCCTTGGAACAAAAGTCTGAATGATACTCTTCCGAGAATCACTCACTCAAAGTCCAGCGTTGTTGTCGTTCCGCAGCTCTCGAAGTTCTCTCCCAGGAATCCTCGCCGGAGTTTCTCTTCCAGGAAAACTCCCGTCTTCAATAGGCCACTCTTCAAACTTCAACTTCTTCGCCGGAAATCCGTCGGCTTCACACACGCAGCTGTTGCCCGCGTCTTCGCTCGATAGCGGAAAACCCACGCTCTTGCCTGTAGCTCGAGCCGTCCCTACGGACCAAAACTTCGCCGACTACACGGCGGACTCTCTACGCACTCTGGCGCTCACTTCCGTCTCCTCCTGTTCTGTCACTACGGGCAGAACCTTCGCCGACTCCACGGCGGAATTCCTACGCGCTCTGGCGTTATCTTCCGTCACCACCTGCTTTCTCGTCTCGGCCGCTCGATTAAATACCTTCCGCGCCACTTTCCAGAATTTTCTCGTCCTTTCGTCGGCGCGATACGCAGCGAAGGCTGGAGAGAGGCGAGACGGTTTGTCAGCCCTCCGCGTCGGGTGACTCAGCTCGGCGTAGCCACGCCTCCTTCGTTCTGGAAATTTCTAGCGCTTGCCCGGCCGCCGCTGTGGGGTGAGGAGGTTCGTCTGCGAAGCCGTGCTTCTGCGGGGAGAGCGCGCGCCCGGGAGCCTTGAATGTTTGCTTTCTCTTTTTTTTTTCTTTTTACCTCGCGGCGTTTCTACCGCCCGTTGTCGCAAGGATTTGGCGGCGCGCTCTCTTTTTAGCGCTCGTTCTGTGACACTGCCCCCCACTTTAAGAATATTATCTCATAATATTCAAAACCACACAAACGAGCGCGAACAGTCACCACACATTCTCACAGACTGTAACACAATCCGTCGCTCATGACACTTCACATTCACAATATATCACTCAATACAATCGTACATTGTAGTTCAATTCCACAACACATGAAATATAGCCACAGGTACATGCCTACAACACTTCATCACACATTCTAAACAATACAACCGTACAAAGTTCTGTCTATCCAACAATTATACAACACTATACATCACACCATCGCACAGAACACTGACTCACTCGACATACACTTGAGACACAGGATAACAAGAATATTAACACAACATATGTCACTCAGCCCTGCCGAACACATTCTGATTCCACCTCAGCACCTATCTTGAGTACTTCGAACAGCGCTTGCGCCCCCTTTTGCGGTGCTCGCTCGATCTATTCTTGTGTTTCCACGTTCTTTTTCGGCGAGCCCTTTCCCACGACGATATCTGAGGCGTCGTCTCAGCCATCGTTGTCTCTTCCGACACCGTTAACGCGTCATTACATTCGACGGGTCCTGTCTGTTTATTTACCCGCTTGATAATGCCTCTACATTTTGCCCGGCTGGCCAACTCCGTCTCCTTTATACTGTCTGTCGGTTGAGGTCGTGCCGACGTAAGTCCAGTTGCTCGGCCCGTGGACTCATTCGACACGATCGTCTTCTCCTTCGCTGTCTCTTGCGCCGCAGCTTCACCTTGGGCTCTAGTGAGACCCGTCACGGGATGCTCCTCCACTGTATCTCGCGGCCGCTGTGTTGGCGAGGGCTCTATCTTCGGGTCTTCTCCCAAACATTCCGGATCACTTGGCCCTCGCGCCCCGTCGATGTTTCCGATGACAAGGTCATACAGGGGGGTCGTCATGCATAAAGCAGTAACCTTCCCGCTGAAGTACGGGGTTTCAACCTCAATTTCTGCTTCGGGAAGCATCCGGACCGTACGGTCAATTAGGCAAACCGGTTTCGTTCTGCCTGTCAACTCTCTTTCCCGTACCAAATTTCTTCTCACGATAACCGTGGAGCTACCGGTGTCTCTTAGAACCGTAATCTTCTTGCCTGCAATCTTTCCAGGAAGCGTTGGCATTCCCTTCGTAACACCGGTTGGCTGTTTTGACATTACAGCCCCCACAATAGGAATTTTCTCCCCATTCTTCAACTCTACGAATCCATCGGTGACGGCATTATTATCAGATTTCGGTGCCGCTTGCACACAAGATACCTGGTGAGTTTGACTCACTCCGTTCCGACAAGCGTCTGCTTTGTGCCCAGTCTGACCACAGTTAAAACATTTTACAACCGTAGGGCTCGTAAAGATCGTTCGACAGTTTTTCGCGCGATGACCCACTCGGTTGCACAGAAAACATCGCGGAATGCTCTCTGGTGCACGCTTCTTTTCTTCGGGAGCCAATTCCTTCGACTCATCGGGACAATCTTTCTTGACCTTGGCCAAATTAGTTCCTCCTTGCGCTTCTAAGAACTGATCAGCCAATTCAAGCATTCCTTCAAATGACTCCGCCTTCCTCTCTTTCAAATACAGCGACAGGCTTGGGTGGCAACTAGTAAGAAATTGTTCTTTAATTAGCAGCTCTCTAAGCTCATCGTACTCCTGTGCTGTCCCTGAAAGTTCAATCCATCTGTCGAAATAATGGCAAAGTCGGGCAGCATACTGCGTAGCTGTCTCACCATCAGCTGGCTTTCCTGTCCGAAATCTGTCCCGGAATCCTTCCACAGTGAATCTAAATCGCTTCAACAAAGCAGCTTTCACCTTTGCATAGTTGGCCGCATCGGTCGGCGTCAGCCTACCGTACACACTGAGCGCTTCACCACTCAAGCAGGTACTCAAAGCAGTTGCCCATTGCTGTTCCGGCCAATTCTGGCTCCTCGCAATCGTCTCAAATCTGTGGAGGTACGCGTCTAGGTCGTCCTTCCTTTCATCAAACGCTACGAGCAGCTTGCTTGGGTTCAAGCGGAAGCCGTGATCTTCCCGTTCGCTGCTTTCAACTCTAGCTTGGACGGGAGTTTCGTTTCGCTGTTGCAAACGGAGCCGCTCGAGTTCAATTTCGTGCTGCCGCTGCCGTTCCCTTTCAGCCATCTCCGCTTCTCTTTCTTCTTTCAGCTGGCGCTCCCTCGCTTCTCTTTCTTCTCTCGCCCTTTCGGCTGCCAACTTCTCTCTCTCCAGCTCCAACTTCAATTGCTGCTCTCTTTCTTCCTTCAGCTGTCGCTCCTTTGCTTCTCTTTCTTCTCTCGCCCTTTCAGCGGCCAGCCTTTCTCTCTCCAACTCAGCTGCCTTTTCCGCTTTGGCTCTTTCGACCGCCAACCTCTCTCGTTCCAACTCAGCTGTTTTTTCTTCCTTGGCTTTCTCAGCTGCCAACCTTTCTCTCTCCACCGCCTCTTTCTCCTTCTGGCTTACCCATTTCCGTAGTTCGGCGCCGGAAAGACCCATCTTCTCACCAAGCGCAACTAACTTTTCGAGATCCATTGTGTCTCGCAACTCGTAAATAAAACCTTGCCGCGTGCAAAAAGTATCTGCCTAAATCTGTCTATCGGAACACTCCCCTGCACTCGTTAACGAGAACACTGAACAACACACAAAATCGTTCCGATAGCACTATCGACAACTCGAGGCTCTTTCTCACTACTCTGGACACACTGTGCACCAAAAGGTCCTGTATCGCGGACGCCAGATTAATTGTCACACCTGTCCCGTTTATTAGGGAGGCGATCGCCGGGCTAATTCCAAGAGCCGAAGTATCGGCCCCCCGAACCGCACCACGAAAGCGTGGACAATTTAGAAGTGGTCCTTA